CCCCCCCCCCCCCACACACACACAATCACCGGTTCCCAGAGTTCCCTACTCCACCCCAGTCTTGTGGGTCAGATTCTTAAACCAAAGACTCCGGGTAGGGGTCCTCAAGAACACCCTCTACTTCGGATTGGACAACCGGGTGATACAATGCACACAATCTAACGATGGACATATGCCTTCGCACATGTCTCAGACCGGAACACTCATGCAAAACTGTCTTCTCAAAGTCACCACACAACACTTCCATTCGTCGCCCACAAAACAGCCCCATTTTCTATCTCGAATGGTTCCACTGTGTGGCAGCTCGCCGGTATACTCCTCAACATCTGTCTCAGCAGTCCCGTGTCACTCGGAGCCCGCCATTCCATTCCTTAGACATCACTGCGTTCAAACAGGCTTCGCTCGACGTACGAACTCTTGTGTATTAGACAACAAGCAGGTTTGGTTCGCACGCTCGAAAATCTAGAGACTGGTGTGTTGCCTCTCGGAAACACGCATTCAAGATCCGAGGTAGGTGGTCCGATTGACGTATCCTTCTGACCCAAAAGAGGCATTTCAACTGCGCGTTTCCACGGATCTTGTCGCATCAGTGTCTGACCAAGCAGGCATTGGTATTACCTTCAGCGCCAGGGCCGAGGATGGTCTATTGGATTGGATCCTGGTAGACAGTCGACTATGTGCAGAGAGATTCCGAGGCAGAAACCAAACGAACGGTGCTTATTTGTGGTTTCCGCATACACCCCCACAGATTGTAGCCTGGATACAATCAAAGATGACTTCTACCACAGCCTACATGATCTACCTATCAAAGCACTTAAGACGGATATCGTGATTCCGGTCGAAGACCTAAATGCATGCGTTGGTCTAATGTTGCCCGATGGACCCATTTTGGTACCCATCATGGCCTTGACAGCTTTCGTTCAGATAATAGGGATAGGCTTCTTAGCATATGCGCAGAACACGGTCTGTTCCTCGTTAGCACGAGCTTAAGACACCCAAAGCGTCACCTCGCCACTTGGCGTAAGCCCTCTACGGTGCAGGTGTGGATTCAGATTGATCATACAGCTGTTACCTATGGATGGAGAGAATATGTGAAGGACTACCGTTACTATTGGTTTACCTGCTTGGACCCCGACCATGAACTGGTTTGTGCCAAGGTTTTTATGCGATTTCGAGGGGCAAAAAGATGAGATGCAAACAGCTAGACATCGCCAAACTTTCTGATTCGGCCGTGCTAGCCGATTGCCAAAACGAGCTGGTCGCAAGGCTAACCACTACTCCACCAAGAAATGTAGACCAACACTACATGACCATTTAAAACACCATCTAAAACACTCAGCTAGTTCACACAGTTGTGGCCTGACCCATCGAGGTCTAAGAAACGCGCGAACGGTGCACGCGTGAGAACCAGGCTGGTTTTAGACCCGGTCGCGACCACATCTTCACTCTGCGCCAAATTCTGGAGCACCGGCATTCTTTTCGTAGACCCACAATCTCTGTCTTACTAGATCTGAAAGCGGCTTTCGACTCAGTCGACCGCTCTAAACTCTGGCGCTGCCTTTTTCTGAAAGGTGTGCCCGAGAAGTTAATTTCAATATTATGACCGCTTTATACTAATAGCCGAAGTCGAGTCGGGGCTTACGGCACTTTTTCTCCCGAGTTCATCACGGAAAGTGGTGTTCTTTAGGATTGCTCTCTTTCTCCTTTTCCATTTAACTTTGTTATAGATCTGAGCACTGAAACAGCCCTATCCTCGCGCGAGGATAGTGGCATCGATTTACTCGCAGGTGGCAGGCTGTCTGATCTAGAGTACGCAGACGACATTACGCTACTAAGTGAAAATCCAGGTAAGTTACAAGCTTTTCTGGGTAACTTGAATGCCATGGAAGCCATATTCGGTATGTGTTTTGCACCTTCAAAGTGTAAAATGTTAATACAAGACTGAGTCGGTCCAGCACCCAGCCTCAC